TTAATCTTAGGATAGTAACACAATACTGTATAATGCATGTTTTGTCTCGAGTTTTGCTCCACTTGCTAGTTAAACTGACTACCTTACGAACTTCTGCAGGGTGATTCGAAATCAAATGAGGTGGCAAATGAAGAATTTAAAGGTAAACCAATGGTTACAAATGTACCAATGGTTACATATTGGCTCTCTGCAATCCAAGTCATCATCATCTTCCCGGTCACCTACAAAATAAGGAATATATACACAGTTTTTTTCTTTTCTATTTTTATCATGCTATCTTATTATATAAGGTAAGGTAATGTGGTCACATTTATTTTTCTTCTTAAACTAAGGTTAATTTATAATTTTAATTTTATATATTAAAGTAATGATTTTATTGTTAAAGAAAACTGTTAAAATAATTAGTCTTATTATTGTAATTAACATTGATAGAATTATAGCAACAATTCTAACGATGTTAACTATTGTAACAATGCTAATAATTGTGTTGATATAATATAAAGGTATATTACAGTAAGGTAAAATATAAACAAAATATAATAAAGTACAACAAACCAATTTTTTGGAAATATAATCAATGATTATGATAATTATGTATTCAATCAAAAGAATTATAGTAAAACTGCTAATCATATTAATTTTATTAACAATTCTAATAATGTTATTCATACGGCTAATTCCGGTCACATTTTTAATAACAATAAAACAACTATTTTAATACATAAAATTACAATTATAAAATCAATCATAATTTGGACAAGAAAAATATTTTATACAACCTAAATTTTAAACTTTAACGTAAACATATTGAATATTATAAATAATTTTGAACTCTAATTATGCTAACTATAAATTTGGATTATACAATTAAATATATTTAAGTTAAAGTTAAAAGTTAATCAATGATCACGTGAGCATTAAAAAAATCATGTTAAACTATTAATGCAAGCCTATGTGTTTCAATTTAGAATCTTTCATACTCTTCTCCGTTCATACAGTGTAAAGGCCTTTTATTTTATTTTTTAAAAGAAAAGCTTACCGGTTTGAGTGTCTCGGTTTTGAAACATAGAAGCAATCGAACGAACCAAGCTGTACCAATGGGTTCAAACGGTTTACTGCCTTATTACTTTTAGTATTCTTGAAATTCATTATTTTTCTTTATACAGCAACTAGTTTAGTAATTCGGCAGTGTATATATATTATTTTATATTTGTGCAAATAATAATAGTAATAATTTTTAAAATTATTCTGATTTAATTTCATAACTATGAATAGTAATAGTATTTTTTTCAATTAAATACAAATATTCGATATATATTAATCACCACATTTAAAAAAAATTAAACTCTTAAAAATATATTCTAAATTTGAAAAATAAAAATAATTTTTATAAATATAAAAGTATATTCAGAAAAATATAAATATTTATATAAAGTAATAAAAAATTTTAATAAAAATTTATTCTCTAAAATTCCAAACAAAATTAACAAAAATATAAGTAAAAAATAAATTATTATAACATAGTAATTTATGTATCATTCTCAATAAATTTTAATATTATATATATATAATGAACTATGAAAAAAATTAATTATACTTAATATTTCACTTTTAAAGCTGTAGAATTTTATTTATAATACAGAAATTAATATTCATATATTTTTTCTAATCTCAATTTTTTTAAAAATGAAAATAAAGAAAAAATAACTAAATAAGGAAATGTAATTAGAAGAAAGTATGTACAAAGTATGGAAAATTTACTTCTTTGAAACAATGTTAGTATAGTATGTTGCAAAGTAAACCGTCTTAAAAGATTCGCCCCTCATGATTGATGATTACCCCAACACAACACTTTGTCTTCTTCGTTTGTGCGCCTAAAGTCACTTCACTGTCCTCTCTTACAACTAGCTGTCTCTCTGTTCTCTTTGTTAGCTCTGAATTCTAAGAATGTGGTTTCGGTGAAAGCTTAAATTTGTCTCCCTCCCATTCTTCACCTACACGCGTAATCAAAAGATGACATCCCTCAGAGAACTTCTCACAGAAGAAGGCTTCGACCAAACGAACCCATTCAGACCAAAACACAAACTTTCACAAGAGACAACTTTGAACATATGCCATGATCGAAAAAACCTTGATTGCTCCTACCACAAGTTAGACAAGTCCTTTATACGAAATGGGTCTTGGTCATTTCATTCCAAAACTCAAAGGGTTGGTTTAGCCTCTGAAAAATCGATTTCCAAGTCATTGGTGTCACCGAATTCAAGAACTGTGGGACCCCCTATGGATGAAGTTGCCACAAGAGCAGTGATTGCTATTCTCAGTGGGTACATTGGAAGATATGTTAAAGATGATCTTTTCAGGAAAACGATTCGAGACAGGTGCAATTCTTACTTGGTCAGAAGAAGAAACAGTTCAGAATCAGATGATGATGAGGTTCTTGTAAACATGAAACAAGGGATGGATAATATTGACACGTTGGTAGCACAACAAGATCAAGGGACAAAGAGAGAGATAAGGATCAAAAGCTTAAGGAATTCCATTGAGCTTTTAACCATAGTTGCTTCATTGAATTCTAAAACTTTAAGGGAATCTGCTTCAACTTGTGGAATACCCAATTCCCATCTCTCTGCTTGTGCTCAACTCTACTTGGCTATAGTTTACAAGCTTCAGAAAAACAACAGGATTTGTGCTAGGCATCTGCTGCAAGTGTTTTGTGATTCTCCATTTTTGGCAAGAACTTACTTGCTTCCTGATCTTTGGGAGCATGTGTTTCTTCCTCATCTTCTCCATCTCAAAATTTGGTACACTGAGGAGCTAGAGGTACTTTCAGCTTCAAGTGCATGTCATGGTGAGAATGAAAAGAAAATGAAGTCTTTGAGCAAAGTATATGATAACAAAGTGGACACAGGAACTGTTATGTTTGCTTTTTATTACAAGCAGTGGCTTAAGGTTGGGGCTAATGAACCTTCTCTTCCCATTGTCCCATTGCCATCAAGACTACGTCACAGATCATCTAGAAAAAGGTCTTCAGATTCTTTTGTTTCCCATTCTTCTATCAACCCAAACTTGTAAGTCACATGGACATCATGCACTCACTAGTCTACTCAAGATATCTTTTTGAAACAAAATGTATATGGTAGTTATGTGCTTTCTATGTTTTGGTTTCATGCAATAGATACAAGGAAGTATTTGGCCCCAAACTAGAGCTGAAACCTACCAATTTTGCTCATCAAAATGGATTGTTGACAATTAGATGGGGCTCAGGGAATGATGAAAAATTGTATGATGATGAATTCATCAGCAGTTCTTTCCAGGTTAGTTTCAGTGTCTTCACTTCATCGCACATTTAATATTGGAATGCATTTGAGAAATATGATATCTCATCCTATTTCTCACCTTTGACAGAAGGAAGACATGAACACATTATACATTGGAAGGTCATCAAGGCGAATTGACAAGAATCATCTTGCTGAATTAAGGCCAGAGTCTCTTATGCTGGACTATTTTCAGTGCTTTTCTTGCAGGACTATGGGAGCAGAAAGCTTGGTGAACAGCAACTATACATCCAGCAGTGCTTCATTTAGAGACGATATAACTGTTCTTTCAACTGAATTTGTTGGAGCTATTACAACCCTATGCTCATCAGATATTCTAAGTGAATGTGAATTCGCAATTCGTGTGATTACCAAAGCTTGGCTGAACTCTCATGGTGATCCTCTAATTGAAGAAGCACTGACACAATCTAGTGTAATTGAGGCTATCCTGGAGGTATTGTTTGCCTCAAGTGAAGAAGAAATTCTAGAATTGGCCATATCAATTTTAGCAGAACTACTAGGAAGGAATGATGCAATTAGACAAATTATACTGAGCTCAGATCCACATCTAGAAATCTTTTTGAGACTTTTAAGAAGCACTGGTCTATTTCTAAAAGCTGCAATTCTGCTTTATTTGTCAAAGCCGCAGGCAAATCAGATGTTATCACCAGAATGGGTGCCACTAGTACTTCGAGTGTTAGAATTTGGAGACAAAGTGTTGACCCTCTTCAGAGTACAATGCAATCCTCAAGTGGCAGCATTTTACTTTTTGGACAAACTTCTTACTTGTTTTCATGAAGATAAGAATGTTGAGAATGCTGGGAAGGTTGTTTCCCTTGGGGGATTGACCCTTCTTATGAAAAGAATCGAAGAAGGAGACGTACATGAAAGAAACAATGTTGCTTTAATAATTTGTAGGTGCATTCGTGCTGAAGGAAGCTGCAGAAGTTTTCTTGCTAACAATATAAAGAAGAGTTCTTTACTAGAACTCATTGTTCTTAGCAATAGTAAAAATTGCAGCAGAGGTGCTTTTTCTTTGCTAGCTGAGTTACTCTACCTTGATAGGTATGCATTTCATTACCCATCTTTTCCTAGATTTCTTGTTTATTCTTTTATTCCATCTTTTCTTTGTTTCCTTACTCTCTTTTATCAGAAAGTGCTGATATGATAGTCTTTTGAAATCATGTCTTCAGAACCTCCAAGATTTTAAATTTCTTAAAGGGTCTTAAAGATGGATGGGGTGGCCTAAACACAATGCACATTCTGTTCATCTACCTTCAGAAGGCTCCACCTGAAGAACGTCCTTTAGTGGCAGTGATATTGTTGCTGCTTGACATCATGGTAATTCTTTCAACTACTAGTCCATGTATGGAAATTTTAACTGATTGTTTGGTGAATAATTTTCCATGTTATTCTATGACTTTGATTGTTTCCAAAATCAAACTCTTATATCGGTTAGCCATCCATTAATATATTAAATTGATTTAGTATCTTGAAGAGTTCACAAATGGAATATCAGTTGTGTTGCAGGAAGATCCTTTCAAAGGGAGTTTATATAGAGCAGAAGCAATTGAGGCAATTGTGGATGCTTTAAATTGTCAATTATTGAATAGTATAATACAAGAGCAATCAGCAAGGGCTTTACTCTTGTTAGCAGGCCAATTTTCTTATAAGGGAGAATCATTAATGGAAAGAACACTTCTAAAACAAGCTGGCTTCATAGAAAATTACTTGGAAGATTCCTCTCATGGCAAGGAAATTGTTGTATATAATTCAGCTCTCAAGGTAGGCTTTGGATTATAATTATGCTTGTATTATTACTTACTATTCAAATTATTGATTGGTTGTATGTTGTTCATTAGAATAAAGAGGAGGATGAAGCGGAAAGTTGGCAAACAAGAGCAGCTAGTTTCTTGTTCAAAAGTGGAAACAAGAATTTACTAGCTGCACTTGCAGATTCTGCAGTCAATGGAGTCCCAAGTTTAGCAAGAGCTAGCCTTATAACAATTTCATGGATGAGCAGCTACCTTCACTTAGTTGATGATAGAAAGTTGCCACCAATGGTTTTCTCAATTATCATCCCACTGTTACTAAAATACTTGAATTATGATAAGGATGTTGAGGCTAGAGTGCTGGTTTCATATTCATTGCTATGCCTTGTAAAAAATTCAGGTATGAAATTTTTACCATCTTCAGCGTTGTGCCAAATTTGTCCTTGAAGGACTAGTTGTTTCATTTTTGTTCTCAGACTTCAGATTTGGCAGCATAGTACAGACCCCACAGAAAAAACAGGGGCTGATAGAGAAATTTTATGCGTACAACTTTTTTCTACAATACTTTCTGACTTAGAGAATGAAGGAGAAAAGTGGAGTATAAGATAAAATAAATGATATGATGAAGAGATTATAAAGAGGAAAAATGAGTTTAAATTGGTACATTAAAAGTGTGTATAGAATAATAATAATTATATTCTTCAAAGTTTATGCTTATTATAAATTTTAATTATATTCTTGTTTACCTCTTCAGTTTTCATTTGTCCTTATTTTTGAATTTAAACAAATTCTTAGCAGGATATGTCTCTTCTGTCTTGCCATCGCTGGATGAAGACTCACTCAAACATCTTCAGAATCTCTCTCTAGTCACGTGGACTGCCAATGAGCTAATCTCAATAATCGCGAAAAGCAGCATACGATCAAAATCAATGAAAAACAAAGCTGCATATTGAACACTTCCATGTTCATTGTCTTTCATACACGTGTGAATGTTTGAAAGGGAATATTTCTACCAATATCTATTTGTTTCATTTTATGATAGCATATAATTCACAGTCTGAAAAGCTTGTTCAGCCAAAGAAAGAAGCTACAAAAAACGGGGGAAAACACTAAAAGAAGCTTAGGTGCTAACACAAATTCAATACAAGTAGCTTCCCATTAATCTCACTAGCATGTTTTGAGTTATATTATTTTCAAAATTAATTTCTGTAACAATAAATTTTTTTTCTCTCTCTTTTTCTCACCTCATGCATTTTTTCTCTTTCTATCACTTTCTAATTCGTAAAAAAGAAAAACAAAGTAATACAAATTTGTTGTATGAATAGCATTTCTCTTATCTTTGTGTTCCTTGATTACAAAATTTGTCGTATTGTTAGTCATTCCAACTTCACCCCTCCAAAGAAAAAGGAAAGAAAACAAAGCATAACAGTATAAAGCGTTTGTTTAGTAATTTTTTTTAATAAAATTTATCATAAAATGTATTGATATAAACTAAAAATGATTTATCTTAATAAGATGTATAAAAAATGTATTAAATAAAATAAAAAAATAAAATTATAAAATATTTTCATAATTTCTCTTGAAGTGTTTTAGATGGAAAATAACTTATCTCTTGGGAGGTTGTGCATGTGCACATGTATGCTCGGAGTGAAGTTACCCCATTTCTTTAAAGAAAAGAATTCTCTTAGGAAAAAGATATTTTGCTGTCAAGAATAACAGACAAACATGACAGAACAATTTGGGACATAAGTGGATATAATTATGTGGATGTGATGTGATTGCTCATTGTAGGAACCTCACTGTGGGGAGAACAGTTTTTCTAAGCTATAGCTTCTTTCCTTTTGATCCATCTCCAAGCTGTACCTTAAATCCATGCCATACATATTATCACACTTCCTAATTTTGCCTAAATTTAAACCCAATATTAAATTAGGTCTTTTTAAAATTTAAATTAAATATTTCTCACTGTGATAATTCAGTAGTAACAGTCAGCAAAACATATGTATTATGGATAGGATTTGAATCTTATTTCTGTCAAATTTTCAAGTTCCCTCTTCTAATTCCTAATTCTCCTTTCCAACCACAAAAAAAAATAAAATTTTTGTTATTATATTTAAAAATTACTTTTAAAATTTTTAAGATGTAAATCACTTACTAAATTATTGTAATTATTTTATTTATTACTTTAATTGATATTATATTAATTTATTTAACTTTTGAGACATTATTGATTTAAATTTTTAAGTAATATTTTATTAATTTTAGGTTTAATTGTTGACATTATTTTATAATTATTATATATGTATTAAGTAATTAAAATAATGAGAATCTATATATTGATTAGTTTATTTTATTCTAATGTTTGCCATATTAAATAATAGAAGATATGTATTTTAATTAAGAAAAATAAAAAAAACAGATAAATTATATAATTATCAATTGAAAAAAATCACAATAAAATGATGAGTTTATTTTTAAAATAAAAATATATTCTTAACATTATTTATAAACTAAATAATAATATTTATTTTAAGTAATACTTTTTGTGCATTGCATGAACTAAAACCTAGTCATTAATATTTAATATTATTTTGAAAAATTATTTAAATTTTTTTAGACATTTTTTTATTTATAGTTTTTGGGATCTCAAACAAAGGTTATGCTAACCTTATCTTTAAGCCGGACAGCATGTAATTCTTGAATTATTATTCACCTGCTCAAAGGGATTGAATTATTGATTCTACTATAGTACTGTAAGTTTAATTAAATTTAAAATCATTTTCACTAAAAATTATGAGAAATGTTAGTCATTGAGTAAACATAATCAGTTACAATATTTAGTTAGATACCATATTCAGAAGAAACAGAAATATGTGAAGCTTAACTAGTTTTTCTGACCCTTTGATTCCAACTGCTACCAGTTTTAGGCCACAAAAAGCATGCATGTTGGAACACAAGTCATGTACCACATCATCTTAGCACTAACGTTTGTGCAACTCATAAATCTTGGCATTACATGTCGTGTAGGCTACCATATATGAAGACAAAGTAAAGTTTATCAATTTTGACTTTTCGGGATAATTAATATGGAGTTCTTTTAAAATATTTAGAAATTTTAAGTTAAAAATATTAAATTCTCTTCAAAATACTGTTGTTTAAAAATTATGACTTAATTTATTATCCACAGTTTTTTTACTATGTTTATTAATAAAATATTGCCATGAAAGGAGTTATATATAAAATTCTCACGATGATATACCATGCACAATATACATCTATAGCATATCCAAAAATCAATACTTATGCAGTAAACATGATTTTTAAGAATTTTGGTGAAGTGTGTGATCTTTTAAGTCAGAAGAATGCTAATGAATTTGCACGGTACGTGGTAGCCAAAGTACATACTAACTAAATATCACCCATTCTTTGACGGATAAGGTAAATCAAATACTCTCTAACTCAACTTTTTTTAATGCATTTTTGAAATTTTTATATAGAGCATAAGTTGAAAAGAAATGTGCTATCATTCCAACCGTGCAGGACAAGTATCACATGACTAGGAGGACTCACCAATGAACATGAGTGTTGTCTTTTATATGCAATCTAGTCTTGTCATCCTCTAGCTTCATCGAATTGGGTTCCACTATGAATTTTGCTGCAAGTGACAGGGTTTTGGTTGGCCAAACTCATGATGAGTCAAATCATCTTGAACAGCTTTAGGAATATTTTTTAATTTCTCTTTTACCCTTTAATATATTGTTAAAATATATACTATAAAAAATAAAATAAAATTATTTAAAATGAAAAAATATTTAAAGTATTATCTACACAGTGAATGTTTAATTATTCAAATAAGAGAATTGCTAATGATTTTGACAAAATTAGGTAGACATGTGCCATCAGTGGCCGGCCACAAGTGTATCTTCTAGTGTCCTTACGTGCCCCATCTCCAAGAAAACGGTAAAAACAAACGGTGTGGCAAAAGTGTAAGACATCAATCTAATATAAACTCAAATTTTGCATGTAGTAATATGACCAATTGTTATCGATATGCATGGTCCCCTGTTCACATGCTGGTCCCAATACGTGGTGTCGAATAGTGTATTATCAATGAAATAATATGAAATGATAGCATATGATCGATATATGGTATATACTTAGGACTATCCATACCACTCAATTCAAACTTTATCACTGCATTAGAATTGAGGAATGGAATGGACCACAGAACATTTCAAATGGTTAAGGAAAAAAGGGACATCCATCTGTCTAAATGTAAGGAAAATATTTTATGAATAGTGAAAATCGACAATAATGAATTATCCCTTTTATTTTTTAGAAGCAGCCATTTTTATACGAATATCTATGAAAAATAAAAACATAAGGAGATAAAATAATATATACGATATTATGTATAGTGTGAAATTTTAAACTATTCAAAATACTAAGCTGGAAATGTAAGCTTGATATATGTTAAAATATACATTAGAATCCGCATAATTCTCAAGTATTTGTTACACGATTGTAAATAACTCCCGTTCGATTTCTCCCTTTTGTGAACTAGCAATTTGGGTTCTTTTTCTCTTAATTAAAAGATTTCAATAGTGACACGCTTGTTTTATATTTAATTTTAAAAATAAGTATGAGACATATATATATATATATATATATATATATTATCTGTCTTTTATCTTCTCTTCCTTAACTTTCTTCTATGTTTCGTTCTTTTTTACTTCTATGTTTCATTTTGCTTTATTCAAGTTATAGTGCATGCACGCCTAATCATTTTATAAAGTCTTTGTGAGCCAAAAATAGAGGTTAATTTATAAATTCTTTGGATAACAAGTTTTTTTTATATATATAAAAAATTCAATAATTTAATCTCTTGAACTCTTTCTTTAACCCATTAGAAGTAACTCAATTTTGTTACATAACTCCTCAAGCTCAACTCTTTTTCCTTTCGAATCGCTTTTTTTCAAGCACTTTTTACTTTTTAGATTAACGTCGTGAATTTTCCATCTTTGTAATAGAAGACAAAAAGAGTTAGTAGTTCTTTTGTAGGTGATCTCATAATAGGATAAGTAAGTTGATATTTGATGAGAATCAAAGAAGGTCCATTAAAGACAAAGGCTTAAAGACATTAGAAGAATTTCAAGGACTAATGATAAGGGCAAAGACAAAAAAAATAAGAGTAATTTGAAATTAGAAGATTCCAAAATGGTCAATTACATATACACAGAGTATTTGTACTCCAATGTGTTCTATTAAGATTTAATTATTATGTTAAGTTTATTTATTTTAATATTAGTCATTACTTATTTTAAATTTTTATTTAGGATAAAATCTTGTTATTTTATTTAGTTTATTTATATTTGGGCTTGTTACCACAAGAAGCTCGTTTGGGTTGTATTTATGTTGCTTTATGAGTATTAGACATATATATGCTCTTGTGTACATACTTTTAATTAGTTTTGAATATAATCTAAGATTAAACACTCTTATGAGAGCGTGTAACTCTAGATTTTTGTGTGAGCAAATTTTTCTTGATTTTATCAAGAAGCCAAGACTCTTATGACATTCTTTGACTTATTAATCTTTCGATTGTGATATCATTTTTCATCTCTGTTCCTTTTTCTCCTTTATTATTTTTTTCCTTATTTCAATTTCTGTTCTTACTTTAATAATTTTATTTTGTTTGTCGAATAAAATTTAATTCAAGATCATTTAATTCGACAACACAGATCGTGATTGTCATCAATTAGTATTATAAGCTTTGATTAAATTGAATTGAAAAATACTATTTATCACACTGTTCACAGGTACTGTTCAAGTGTTACTATTTAGAAATATTTTCTATTGTCTTGCTATTTGAAAAAAAAACAAAAAGAAAGAAAGAAAATGCAAAAAAAAAAAAAATTGCAGCACAAAAATGTGAATTTTTAACACCTGTTTCTTGCAATTCTCAGCTTGCTTTTGCGAAGTTTAATATTGATTCCATACAAAAAAACAACAACTTGTTGTTATTTAATTTTACATAATTTTCTTTAAGTTCTCAGTTCTTATTTTATTTGCATCTGTTT